AAAATTAAAATATTTTAAAAAGAAAGACAAAGGCAGGTGGTGGTGGCACACATCTTTAATCCCAGCACTTGGGAGGCACAGGCAGGCAGCTCGCTGTGAGCTTGAGCCCAGCCTGGTCTACAAAATAAGAACAGGACAGTCAGGCTACACAGAGAAACTCTGTCTAAAAAAACAAAAAATAAATAAATAAGAAGACAAGAAACAACTTGCCTGAAAGCATCCAGCTCCACAATGAGTTAAGATGATCAGAGCCAGAGCCTCGTGCAGGCTAAGCAAACACTGTTATCAGTAAGCTACATCCCTAGACCAGGGTAAGAGCTGAGGCTCCCTCACCTTCAGCCAACAGGTAGCAAGTGCACAGGTGACAGTGATCACAGGGCTCTTTCCATGGTGTAGACCAAGGTTCCTTTATACCTGGAGCCCTCGACCCCTTCCTACCCAGTGTTACTCCCTAAGAGGTCCTGTACTTACCAACCACACTGTGTACACCAGAGAAACTTTCAAAGCTGACAGGTTTTCCACTTCTAACATCGATATATTCTTAAGATTGATATTTATAACCTGGTCACTTACTCAATACACTTGAGTCTTTCAAGTACTTTATATATTTGAACCCGTTTACTCATTACAATAGCCAACTATGAGGACTTGCTGTTTTTCCAGCTTTCACAAATGAAAAAAATTGGAGCAAAGAAAAGTTTAAAAACACAAAAATCACCCAAAGTTATACAAAGAAAAAGTGGCAGACAGGGCTGGAGATGTGACTCAGTGGTTAGGAGTAGTGGCTGCTTTTCCAGAGGACTGGGTTCAATTCTCAGAATGCACATGGCAGCTCACAACTATCTTTAAGTCTGGTTCCAGGGACTCTCTCACACAGACATAAATGCAGACACAACACCAATGCATATGAAATAAAAATAAATTAAGGGCTGGAGAGATGGCTCAGTGGTTAAGAGCACTCACTACTTTTCCAGAGGACCCAGGTTCAATTCCCAGCAGCCACATGGGAGCTCACAACTGTCTGTAGGTCCTGTTCCAGGGATCCAACTCCCTTACACATGTAGACAAAAGAGCAATGGACATAAAATAAAAAAAAAATAAATTATTTTTAAAAAATTGAAAATGGGTGGTGGGGCCAGGTGTGGTGGCACACGCCCTTGATCCCAGCACTTGGGAGGCAGAGACAAGTGAATCTTTGTGAGTTGGAGACCAGCTTGGTCTACAAAGTGAGTCCAGGACAGCCACGAATCTGTTACAAAGAGAAACCCTGTCTCAAAAAGCAAAAAAAAAAAATAATAATAATAATAATAATAATAATTAAAAAAATAAAATTATAATGGGGGCTGGAGAGGTTGCTCAGCAGTTAAGAGCGCTGGCTGCTCTCCCAGAGGACCCAGGTTCAATTTCCAGCAGGACATGGCAGCTCAAAACTGTCTGTCACTCCTGCTCCAAGGATCTGAAACCCTCACAAATAGACATGCAATCAAAACACCATGTATATAAAATAAGGTGTATGTATATAAAATGAAAATTAAAAAAAAAAAAATTTTTTTAAAGTGGCAGGTAAATAAAATGTCCAACGTGGTGACCCGCACCTTCAATCCTCGCACTCTTGAGGCAGAGAGCCTGAGCTACATAACAAGACTCTAGCCAGCCAAAACTAATAGCGAGACCCTGTCTTTATATTACACATGTGTACATACACTCGAACACTTCATTCAAGTTTGGTTTTTGGGCCTCCACTTCACTACACAGCCTGTAGTGATGATCCTGTTTTTTTGCCTCCACTTCCTAAATGCTGGGATTCTAGCCCTTATGGCTGAGCCTGATTGTGTGATGCCAAGGATTGAAACCAGGGCCTTCATTCTTGCTACAATGAAGATCCTATCAACTGAGGTACACCAGTAGCTTCTCATTCAGCTCAGAGGAGAAAGTAGTGGATCAATTGTTCTAAGACTTCCCAAGAGGCTGAAGCCTAACCTTACAGAGTCTGAGCAGTAAACTTGAACAAACTTTCCCCTATGGCTCTGGGGCACAGTCAGGACGCTCCCACGCTACAGCAGCACAGGAGATCACCTGTGGGGGCTAAAGACCTATGGTAAATTCAAATAGGGTCATTATCTGAGCCTGATGGCTCATGCCTATAATCCCAACAGAGAGGCAGAAACAGGAGGATCTTAGACGCTAGCCTCGTCAAAACAGTGAGTCCCTTGTCAGGGCTACAGAAAGACCCTATCTCAAACAAAATAGGTTACTGAGCTAAGGTAACAAGCACTGGCCTATCTTACCCCACGATCTTCAGTGTGAGCACACGGGTGCATGGTGTGTGCATGAATGACATGCACATGTGGAGGTCAGAAAAACCCTCAGAAGGTGGTTCTCTTATTTTACTCTGGGATCCAAGAATCACACTCAAATCCCCAGGCTTGCATGGCACGTGCTTTTACTGTCATCTCTGTACGTAACAGCACCAAGCTTCTTGCTCCTTGGAACAGGAGTGACAGTTTTGAGCTGCCATGTCATGCTGGAAATTGAACCTGAGTCCTCTGGAAGAGCAACCAGCGCTCTTTTAACTGCTGAGCCAGCTCTCCAGCTGGCTCTTATTTTTATTAATTTATTTAAAAACTTGAGTCAAGTACACCAGTGTACACCTTTAATCCCAGCACTCAGGAGGATTTTTCTGAATTCAAAGCCAGTATGGTTCATATAGAGTTGCAAGCCAGCTAGGGCTGCAGGGTGAGACCCTGTCTCAAAACCAAAGAATGGAGTTTCCTATAGGCACTGCAGGCATCCCAAAGAAAATAAACAAAGAATATCAAAACAATACAATAAAGGGTCAGTTCTCAGGTCACACGGTCTAGTTAAAATTCTGGTTTAGTTACATACTAAATGTTACAAGTGATAGTTCTAGTTCCACTTCCAAAAAAATGAAAATATCTAAATGGAGACTGCAGTATTTCACTCACTGGATTGTTGCGGGCAGTAAATTATATTTGGCAAAAAAAAAAAGTACTCAGGAAAGCATCTAACATACAATAACCAGCCAGTAATATTAATATTATATATGTCCCTCTAAAACTCAAGTAATTCCTGTGTGGCTTAAAAAAGAAAAATGGGGAGAACAGAGATGAAGTAAGTATCATAAAGACAGTAAGTGAACTGTCCTACAGAGAAAATGGGGTACATGACAGAACAAATTGCCACAATGTCAATGAACTTTCCACACCTCACTCACAAACTGGCAATCTTCTCTCCTAGGCCAACCACCTATTTTGGAAAGGTGGAGCTACTGAGATATAAAACCACAGGCTCAGGTATAAATATCAAACTAACAAGCCCACCTTCTGCTATTCCCACATTTTCTACCAAAACACACACAGAGAAAGCTGAAGACTAAATAAATCCCTTGCCTCCAACTACTGGGAATAAAACTTAGGCTGTCCAAACGCCAGGCAAATAATCTACCACTGAACTATATAACCCGTAACATAACATTTTGAAGCAGAGGCTTCTTACGTTTTTCATGAAGGCTGGAACTTGTAAAATCTTGTCTCAAGCCTCCTAGGCCCTGAGATTAGCTATGAAATCTGGCTGAGATTTGAATTTCAATAACATACTATCTTACTATTGCACTTAACACAAAAATAGAATGTATCTTGTTTAGGGAAAATATGTTAATTACTTTTCTCACCTTATTTTATATTATGAAACCAACAAGACCTAGAAAGATCTAAATTTGTAAACTACAAAGACCTCAATAGTCAAGTTTTTCCCCTACCTTGTGTGGTAACAAAAAGGACTGCCTACCCCACCTCCTTATTTCTGGCCAAAGTGAGTAAATCTAAATTAGGACTTTCTTTTTAGGCAGGTCTCCTAAAAGACTAGCCATGGACTGGCTCATCTCTAGGAGGGAAAGGCTTGCACTTCAAACATCCAAAAAGCAAGAAGCGTGGTGCTGTTACATACAGAGATGACAGTAATCTCGGAATCGCTTTGCAATGCACAAACCTCACGAGCTAAGTGCATGGATTCCCTTAACACTGCAGAAGACAACTGCAATAATATGGGTAAGGCAGTTACAACTCGATGGTCCTAGACAAGGAAGACCCGGTGGGATAATCATTCCTGGTGTGTCTTCCAGCCAGGTCTGCTCTCAAATCCTGCGAGGCTGTGACCACAGCACCAACTCACTGAGCAAGAAAAGACCCAGAAGTGCATGACTGACAAGTGTTTAAGCCCAGGAAGAATGAAACTCCATTCACTTCCAGGGTTGTTCTTATTGGCTTATGCCTGGTTTATTTTCTGAAAAAAAATTTTTTTTCTTCCTCCACTAATCACTTTGAAACCAGAAACTCTAGTTGCAGCGGGCAGTCTTTTGGACACAATTTGCCAGCTAGGCTTCAATTATGCTGGGCTGGTCACAGAAAGCTTTTTTCTATTACGAAGTCACTTAGTTCACCACCTTCGTATTCCACAAGGGAAGAGCACGGTAAAAAAGATTTTGGAAAAATGCCCAAGAAAGGAAAAAGCTGACCGGCTTCCTGAGGGTGTCTCCATCCCTCCCAGCCAGGCAGTACGTGGTGACTTCCTACCGAAGGCCACCAGGGGAGTATGGCCAAACCCAGCTCTAACACTGCAGGAAACGTTTCAAGCCTAAAAGCCACTTGTAGGATTAGCAGATCCATTCTGGGCACCTTTGCCAAATGATGTCCCTGCAACATCCCCATTAACTCTTTGTCCCCAATTTGCCTGGCCCTGCCCTGCCCTTGGGCCTGACCCTGGCGCCCAGCCCCACCCCGGGGCCGCAACAGTTCCCCTTCCCCGGCTCCCAAGGCACACCCAGAGGCCTCGGTAAGCGGCGGCTCCTCCCCCACCATCCTGCTCGTAGGTGGGAACCAGCTGGGCTGAGGGCATCTCCCCCGCTGGGGTCCCTCCAGCAGGAGACCAGAGTTCCACGGCCCTCACCCCCGCCCGGGGCCTCCCGCCCGTCTGTCCCTCACCCGGCGGAGGCTGAGCGGGCGACGGAGGCACTGGAGGGCGCGGGCCGCTGCTGTTGATGATGTAGTGGGAGACGCGCGAGTTTTCGGAGACGCTGAGCACATAGTCCCCGGGGCTGGTACTCGAGTCCCGCACCAGGAACACCCCGTGCCGCTGGCCCTGCAAGAGCGCCACCGCCTCCTGCCGGCTCAAGCGGCCCCAGTACCAGCTACTCCGCTCCTCCGAGTCGAAGTTGCCCGCCATGGCCGCCTCCGCGCCTTCACACTGGGCCGCCGCCGCCACGCGCGCCCCTCCAGCCCTGGCGCCCGCCGCCCAGCGGACCGGCTCCGGTGTCAGCCTCCCAGCAGCGCCCGAAATGGCGGCGGCGGCCGCGGGCCTTCCCCACCGGAAATGACGCGCTCTCTACCCGAGGGAGGCTGCCGGGAAGGGGACCGGCGCCCGCCATTGGGAGAAGGGAAACGGAGTCCTTGGGGCCCGCAGTGCGCATGCGGCCTCATGGGCGTCGCCGCCCTGTCCAGACCTGGAGGGCCAGGGGATGAGGAGGCGGAGTCTAGGGCTAAGGGGCGGAGTCTCAAAGTGCAGGCTGACTGATGAGTGTTTGACAGGGGGAGGTCTTTCGCCCAGGACCTGCAGGCAGCGACAGTAGTAAAAGGACTGGAGTAGAAAAGATGATGTGGTCCCAGGATGTTAGTTTCCCCTCAAAGCTTCCTGACAAGATCGTCTTTTTCTGGTGTTTTCTTCAGTTTCCCCTGAGGCCCATTGAAGTTTTGGTAACACCCAAAGACACTGGATTGGCCTCGCTGGTGTAGTGATGATCCCGACTGGGTCTTCTTAAGTCACCGAATTCACAGCCCAGTGGGAGGAACCAGGGAACAATGGCAAAGAAACACCAAAAGCTGTGGTGAGAGACACAGATACAAAGAAATCAAGAAGTCTGTAGAGGGATCCAAGGGCTGGGTAAAGTGGCTCTTGACTGCCTGAAAGCTGAGACAGGAGGATCACTGAGAGCCTGAGACCCTATATTATAAAGCCAAAACAAATAACCACAGAAAGGGATCCACAGATGAGGTGGTACAGGTTGAGTGGTGGAGTGTTGAATGGCAAATGGGAGAGGGTACTTGAGGCAAAGAAAACAAAATCCCCAGCCAGGAAGAGTGGTTTTCCCTGCTGAGGCTCTCATGTCAACCAGCCAGATCCTTCTGCACTCTCAGCTACAGTCATGGGTAACTTCATGATCATCTCTCTCATTTTTTAAAAATAATTTTTTGTTTTGTTTTTTGAGAAGGGTTTCTTTTGCTGTCCTGGAACTAACTCCGTAGACCAGCTGGCCTTGAATTCAGAGACCCACCTGCCTCTGCTTCCTAAGTGATGGGATCAAAGGCGTGTGCCACCATTGTCTGGCTATTACTACTGTGTTTTATATATAATGGACCTTGTCTTAGACAGACAAACAAAAAGCCTAAGACAAAACTAAAGGTATCCATGGCCTAGTTGATAGTTCAGCTCCTCTAGGTTTCCACCCATAGCCTGAGCCAGCCCAGGGAAAGACAGCCGGGAAAAGGGCACCTTCTCTGTTATCGGTGACTCATCATGACTTAGCTTAGTCACCAGGAACCAGCAGCAGAAGTCATTCAGTGTGAATGCTGGCCCTTCAGGGAAAAGGACTATCTGTTCTCCATTTTCAGGACAACTGGACTTCAAGGCAAGACCTTACCCAGAGACTGTTTGGGAAACACCAAACTCAATTCTTAGCATAAATGAAAAAGAAAAAGAGAAGCTGGCCGAAGCGGCCCACGCCTGTAATCCCAACACTCTGGGAGGCAGAGGCAGGCAGTTCTCTGTGAGTTTGAGGCCAGCCTGATTTGGTCTACAAAGTGGGTTCAGGACAGCCAAAGTATCACAAAAAGACCCTGTCTTGAAAACCAAAAATAGAAAGAAAGAGAGAGAGAAGGAAGGAAGGAAGGAAGGAGGAAGGAAGGAAGGAAGGAAGGAAGGAAGGAAGGAAGGAAAGATTTGTTGTGGGTTTTTTGTTTGTTTGTTTGTTTGTATAGACAAGGTCCCACTATGCAGCTCTGAGCGGCCTAGAATTGTTGTGTACATCAGGATGGCCTCAGAAATCTGCCTGCCTTTGCATCCCACTGGAAGGAGTATGTAATCATTTACTATTGCATAGTATTATATATCTCAAGCTGGCCTCCAAGTCACTACACAGTTGTAGATGACCTTGAACTTCTGATCCTCCTACTTCCGATTGAGGCCCACTGTGACAGGATCTTCTTTGTTGTCTTTTATATTTTTTACACATATTTATTTATTTGTGTGTGACCTGGGTATGAAGGTCAGAGGACAATTTGGGGGAATTGGTTCTCTTCTTCTGCCATGTAGGTGCTAGTATTCAAACTCCAGTCCTGAGGGTTGACAGCAAATGGCTTTACCTGATGAACCATCTCGCCAGCCCTCCTCTTCCTCATTTTTTTTTAAGATGGAAGCTCACTTGCTGTGGCCTGGAATTCACTGTATAGACCAGACTGGCCAGCCTCAAACTCATGGGAATCTACCTGCTTCTGCCTCTCAAGTAGAATTAGGGGTCTTTAAGACGTGTGCCACCACACTGGCTTTCATTCTTCTTTTAAAACACTCTTAAGGGGCTGGAGAGCTGTTTCAGCAGTTAAGAACATTGTAGAGGAACCAGATTTGACTCCAAGCAACCACACAGCAACTCATAACCATCTGTAATTCTACTGCCACGGTATTCAGCACACTCTTCTAGAATCCTGCGGGTAGATACATGGTTTAAAGACCTACATGCAGGCAAAACACTGATACACATTAAATAAAATAAAATTTTCAAGATAGGGTTTCTCTGTATAGCCTTGGCTGTCCTGAAAATTCACCCTATAGACCAGGCTAGGCTCGAACTCACAGAGATACTCTTGCCTCCCCAGTGCTAGGATTAAAGACATGTACCACTACCACCCTGTAAAATAAAATATCTTTAATTGAAAAAATACAAACAAACTCCTAGCACCCTGGGTCCAGGACAACCAAGGATACACAGAGAAGTCCTGGCTTGAAAAACCTAAAAATAAAAATAAACAAACAAATGAACTCTCTCCTAAAGCAAGTGTGATGGCATTTCTGTGTCCCTACCACTCATAAAGCTGAAGCAGAGGGATCATTCCACGTCTGAGGCCAACCTGGTGCATTCCGAGCTAGCCAGGGCTAAGAAGACTCTAAGACAAACAGCATAGAAAACTATACCTGGGCTGGAGAGATGGCTTAGCACCTAAGAGCAGCTTGTTTTTGCTGAGAAGCTGAGGTTTTGATTCCCAGAACCTGCATGGCAGTTCCAGAGGATCCAATGTCCTCTTCTGACCCCCACCGGCATCAAGCACACAAGTGATGCACATACATACTTGCTGGCAGAACAACCAAACACATAAAACAAAATAAATCATAGCCGAGCTGCAAAATAAGCAGGGAAAGCCCATCAGTGAAGGAAACCAGACTGCTCCAATACAGCGTCCCTTGATATGCTCTGTAACTTCCCAGGCCTGCAGCACCCCCAAGACAATTCAGCATTCACTTGCCCTTTCCTCCTTTCTTTCCTTCTCCCCCTTTGTTCCTAAGGAGCCAAAGGATTGCAGTCACAATGGTGGGGTTTGCTCCTTGAAAAGCCAGAGACCTTACCTACAAAAGAAATGACCTCCTTCAGAAGGGTTGTGTTGGAGCAGGGCAGGAAGAGAGGGAGAAACCTCACTGAAAAGCAGAGGTGAGAGGAGGAGAGAGATGGAAGACTTATAACAGCAAAGTGCAGCAAGGCCTCTGGGTCTGTGCTTTCTAGTAAAGACGTCCAGTCCTTTCTAATGACAGAGAAGCCTGGGTAGACAGGGCAGCCTGCTCACCTGCGCGCTCTGTGTCTCCTCAAGTCACCAGGGTTGTAGCACCCACTAGAACACACAACCTGGGTTGCTCTGCAGCCCTAGTGCTAACCAAAGTAGAATCGAGTTAGGGCAACAGACACTTACGGCTCAAAATAAAGTATTAGTTCTCAAGGTCAGAGAAAATGTGTGTATACTTTCAAATTAAAACTCTGACCGGCCAGCCAGGCATGGTGATGCACGCCTTTAGTCCCAGCGCTTGGGAGGCAAAGGCTCTGTGAGTTTGAGGCCAGCCTGATCTACAAATCGAGTCCAGGACAGCCAAGGCTATACAGAGAGACCCTGTCTCGAAACAAACAAACAAACAAAGATAAATAAATAAATAACAAAGATCTCTAAATAAGCTGTGCATAGTGGCTTTAATCCCAGCATTGAAGAGAGAGGCTAGTGGATCTCTGTGAGTTCGAGGCCAGCCTACACATTATGTTTCAGGACAGCCAGGGCTATGGAGAGCTTAATCCAACTAAAAGTGATGCCCCTCCAAAGTTTGTTTTCATGTTTTACAAGGATCCCTCTTTCATTCTTCTCCTCCCCTCTCTCCTTTTTGTTTTTGTCCGCAGGACTGGGGGTCAAACCCAGGGCTTTGCGCATGTTAGGGAGTCGTTCACATCCAAGTCGCATCTCAGGGTTCCTCCTTTTCAAGGTCTCGCTGTGTAGGCTGGGCTGGCCCTAAGTGGACAGCCTCTGCCTTGGCTTCCTGAGCTCTGGGTTTACAGGCGTGAGCCACTATGGCCCCACTCCCCTTAACAGTCAAAAGTAAATGTAGTTTTGCGATGTTTCTCCAGCTATTGCTGAACTCTTGGACTCAAGATAGCTGGGACTAGCTAAGAACCACTTTTTTTTTTTTTTAATTAAGATTTACTATTTTAGAAACTTTTCAAGGTTTTTTTTTTTTTTTTTTTAGTTGATGTGTATAGATGTTTTGCCTGCCTGTGTCTGTATGCGCCTGGTGAGTGCCTTCTATCTCTAGAGGATGTTGGATCCTCTGAAACCCGTGTTGCCAAAGACTGTGAACCACCACACTAGTGCTCTTAACTAGTGAGCCAGCTTTCTAGACGCTATCTTTGTAGTTTTTAATATGTATGTGTGTGTGAATACCACACATGTTCGACAGTGCCCAAAGAGGCAAGAGGTGTTAGATGCCCCAGAGCTAGAATTACGGGCTCTTGTGATCTGTCTGCTATGGGGTGCTGGGAACCGAACTGGTGTGTAAACTTACCTGCTCTGAAGCATCTCTCCAGTTCCGAGAAACACTTTTTTTTTCTTTTGAGACAGTGGAGACAGGGTCTCTCTACATCAGGCTGGCCTCAAACTCACAGCAATCTACCTGCCTCTGCTCCACAGTGCTGGGATTAAAGGCCATTGCCACCATGCCCAGCTCCCCATGGGCCACTCTTAAAATAATATGATGGTAAGATTTGGAGACAGACATTA